TAACTGTATGTTACTTTGGGCTTGGCCCCATGTAAGCCGCCCCGAGTCCCCTCGGGGAGATGGAGGCGGGGTAGAAAAATAAAGTTTCTCTTCCTCCTAGAATGTGTATTACAGTAAACCACATAGCCAAAGGGCCCATGTTTGAAATGCATGTTCAAATGATTTCCTGAACAAATACTGAATTTACAAGGTAAGCAATCAGTATATGTTTCCAAACAATTTAAAATAAACAGGAAGAATGAAATACAATATGAAAACAATCCAAGCAAACAATACAAAGAAACTATAAAAGGCAACATATATTTACTTGTAGCAGTGTTATCTGTTGTGAAAACAATGTTTAGAGCAGTTTTCCTTCAGACTGATAAATCCTCCTTCCCCTTAATTCATTGGGGTTTCATCTGCCATGGTACAGTCAGATTTGTGAAACAACAACAGTTTGGACAATTGCAAGTTTGTGTCATGATCACAATGGGATATGTTGGCAATGAAAGGTCTACACATATCTGGGTAGAGTGCTGTGTTTCTAAAGAGTAAGCAATATGACAATGCTAAGAAGGGATGTTGAGAGAAATGATATGGAGAATGAATAAATCAGAAATGGAAAGGATCCCAAAAGCTAACTAGTCCAACCTCCTGCCATGTGGAAATATACAACTACTGGCTACTCCATCTCTCTTTTAGATATCCAATTAAGGTGAAAACATTTTAATGTTCTTACCCAATAAAATGTGCACATTAGAAAGGCATTCTGGGTTTTCATGCAAGAGCCAAGCTAAGATGACAAGTAACTTCTCCTTGCCAAAGTATGACAGGCTGGCAAAACCATTTCTATTCTGCTGTTTCTTGAATTGAACCTTGGTTGCTGCCAAGCTGTTTTTAACTGGCTGGGTGCTGTTTTTTTAATTGATGAGTTTAAATTGTGTTTTAATTTGTTTTAATGCTTTAATTGTATTTTTCTTCATCTTTTATTATTATTAGCTTTGAGCGGCCTTGCATGCCCCACTCTTTGAAAAAAAAATGCAAGATTCAAGTATGTAATACACAATTATGTTGTTGCTCCAACACTGGTGGCCTGCCCAGCTCTGTATACATTTATCCAAAATTCAAAGGAATATTACCATAGCATTAGTTCCATGTATGTGATATAGGAAACAAAGAATACAAGGAACATGTGAGAGAACAAATTATGTTGGATAGGGTGGCAGTGAGAGCGATCAGGGTGACTGTACTTTCTTCATACTTTTTTCAATAATGAGTATTAACAATAACCACAGATCAAGCTGATAAGACAGAAGCCATGGCAATAAAACACTCATACAAAGAAAGAACAAGATATAGTATGACACAAATATCCAAAGGAATACATTTATTGACTATGTGTAGATACATGAAATGGTGGATAATAGCAAGCCTTAATGAACCTTATTGAAATTATTTCCAGCCCAAAAGAATGGGTTATTCCTAGGAGAGGTCAATGGGATTTATATTGACTTGGCTTCATGAAGGCTCAATCTACAGTAGAACCTTATCTTAGCGAGAAAACATAATATTCTCTCATTTCTGCTGTGTTATGAGAGGCGTGTGATTTTATTATATGTTTTTCATGCTTTAAAATGATTTTACATTCTGAAAATATTCAATTGTATTTTAATATGTTACTTGCTTAATTGTTTATTATCATTATCACTAGTAGTAGTATTGGCACTGTGTACCAAGCCACAACAATAGTGGGGAAATAAATCATCAAGTAAACATGGCCATTACTTTGTGCATACACTTGGTGATTGTGTGAATTTACTTCAGTGGACTATGTCCACTGCACTCACTAAAAGCTGGGACATTGTTTACATTAATGCATCACATGACAGCCCACAAGGTGCATGTTTATTAGCAGCAGGGCAATTTTTTTCTATTTGCCCACAATATCCACATATCCATTACTGTTTTCTGCTTCAAGTGATCATCCCCATCACAATGTTGCTTCCAAAGAAATCTTCGGGTGTGGCCACTCTCCCAGCTGCTGTTTCTTGCTTGTGTGGACTTAGATATCTGCCATCATAAGGCTGTATATGAATCATTCTTGCTATTGCCAGCCACAGAGGCTGTTTCACAATGATCTATGATACATGGGAGTCCAGAGGTTTGAGGTGATTGTTGAGTGTAAAAGGGATGTTGAGATCCATTTGTAATTGGGATCATAGTATGATGTGAGTCTGCCACTTCTGCATTATCTTTTTTTGAGATGGTTAATGTGTTCATCCCACCCCACCATGATGAGGGAACCCACTCCCAACATGGAAGGGGGGCAAGGGAGCAGTTCTTGTAACTGAATGGTATGGATTTCCAGAGGCATGAGAAATGAAAAAAGAAACACCACAATATAAAATGTTGGCGTTTCAGCAGACTGGGAAATAGCTATTATGTATGTTGCTAAATTTCAGGATGGCCCCCAACCATGTGTTTTGCCCTTGGGCAGCCCAAGCAATTGAGAAGATAAGAAGATCGATGAATCGCTTGCACAGTATCTGAAAAGCTCGGTCTGGGAAATGACTGTGGAAGGTGAATATTCAGATGATCAATGTTACTGCTGGCCTTCTTCCTAGATTTCTTGTTCTTGTGCTATTTCAGCCAAGCTGCTTTATGATTTGGAATCCTGGCATCAAAGAAAGGGATTATGGACAAATGGAATTTAAGGCAAATTCTAGCCTTAATGTTAATCTCCAAAAGCAGGTTCAGTCTGCCTTAGGATCTGAAATAAAGACTATTAGAGAATCAGTTCCGGGGTGGTGTGGTTGCAATGAAAATGTGGCTTCAATGAAATAAAAATACACAAAATATATGTTTCCACGTGTTTGTGACTTTATTCCTGCCTAAGTGAACCTCTATCTGTGGGGCTGGTACCAAGATTGTGAAAGAGTGGAGGGGCTAGTGTTCCAAAAAAGCAAGCAAGTTCTTGCTTCTGTGTTGGTGGACTCTTAACTAAGTTAAAAGAAACTCCATCAACAGGTGGATTTGTAAGAAGCACACGAGAAACCTGAGGTAGGGCAGAGTGCCCTGAAAACAAAAGAAGCAATCTTGGAGCAAGGAACCTGTGTTTGAAGACCTCCAGGGCTAAATACTGGAGTTGTAGGTTTATGAGGTCTTTGTTACCCAAGAGTGCTGATGCCTCACAAAAATACAAATTCCAAGATTCCATAGCACAGAGCCATAGCAGAGAAATTGGTACTGAACTGCATTCATTCTATAGTGTCGATGCACCACCACCATCATACTTTTGGCAGAGTATAATTGCCTTCCAAGGGTAGAGACTTGGTGGTGGGTTTCCTTTTTATTAGAAGATGCCTATGCATGAATGCAATCCATTATAGGGCTTGAAAGTAGTGAGAAAGCCTCAAGGAGGGACAAATGAAAATTGAGAGGGAGATTATCTATTTAATTTCTTATGTATTTGTAGGCTTCCTCCCTCACATTAGGTATTTAGTTTTTTTCATGAAGCACCACATATTGTATTATTTCTTTAAACTGTATTTTGTTTTAACTTACACTATGAGGTGCCTTGAGTGAAAGAATAGCAGGATATGGTGACGGCTGACAGGGAGCTCTGGTGTGGGCTGGTCCATGAGGTCACGAAGAGTCGGAAGCAACTGAAAGAATAAGCAACAAATGAGCCATGGCACTGAAAGTAGTGTCCGAGTGCATCTACACTCCAAGTAGTGTCCAATTCAGCAGTGTAGAAGCACCTTTCCTCTCAAAGCAAGGCAGAGGGCAAACCACCTTTAAAGCAATTTTGCCAAGAAAACCCCGTGATAAATACACCTTAGGGCTGGCATATACTGGACATCTCTTGATGTGATGATGTGGTCCTACAATCCAGTAATCTTTGAAACAACGAGAAGATAGAACCAAGCCAAGAAGCATGGGAACACGGTCTGCCTTGGTCAGACCACACCTGAAATATTGTGTCCAATTCTGGGCACCACAATTGAAGAGAGATATTGACAAGCTGGAATGTGTCCAGAGGAAGGTGACTAAAATGATCAAGGGTCTGGAGAACAAGCCCTATGAGGAATGGCTTAAAGAGCTGGGAATGTTTAGCTTAAAGAAGAGGAGAGGAGACATGATAGCCATGTATAAATACGTGAGAGGATGAGGACATCATAGGGAGGAGGCAGCAAGCTTGTTTTCTGCTGCCCTGGAGACTAGGACGCGGAACAATGGCTTCAAACTACAGGAAAGGAGATTCCATCTGAACATTAGGAAGAACTTCTTGACTGTGAGAGCCATTCAGAAGTGGAACTCTCTGCCCCAGATTGTGGTGGAGGATCCTTCTTTGGAGGCTTTTAAACAGAGGCTGGATGGCCATCCCCCGGGGTTGCTTTGAATGCAATTTTCCTGCTTCTTGGCAGGGGGTTAGACTGGATGGCCCATGAGGTCTCTTCCAACTCTATGATTCTATGAGGGCCAAACATCCTTGTTCTCCTTCACGTTGACGTCCGTGGAGCTCCTCACACACGCTCTCGCTTTCTCTCCCTCTCTTGCACGTGACAGCAAGGGGCACCAGGGCCCTGGTCGCCTTATTTACTTCTAGTGACCTGATGGCAGAGAAAGGAGAGGAAATGACAGAAGCCAGGAGGCTGAAAATAGTAACAGCAATCATAATAACAGCAAACCTCTACGACTCTCACTCGCGTACCTCCCCCAAAATAGGCGCGGAGGCTCGTGCGCGTGTGGCCACGGGAGCGCGCGAGCCCCCTAGCGCGGCGCGCGGAGCAGGTGGGCCTCCAATTGGCGCGCGGATCTCCCTCCCTCCCCCTCCCCTCGCCTGCCCTCCTCCTCCTCCTCCTCCCCGGTTGGCAGGTCCCCCCTTGGTGGAATGATTGGCGAGGCTCACCCACACACTCCGGGTCGGCGCCTCCCTCGGATTGGAGGAGAGGCTTGTCAATCTCCTTCCGCGCACACCCGACTCGCCCGCGTGTGTTTCTCTCTCTTTCTCCTTCCCTTGTGCGGCTGGCGGCGGAGCTGGGCGGCTGCGGAGAGCTGAGGAGGAGCCGCGCCGAGGAGGAGAAGAAGGAGGAGGAAAAGGGAGGAGGAGAAACTTTTGGCCCCACTTGGAGGCACCTGGCGCCGCCTCGCCTCCCCGCCCCGCTCCCTTCTCTTCCTTCTCTCGTGCAGCCAGGCTGCAGCTTTGGGGCGAGATTCCCGCCGTGGAGGGAGCGTGCTGTACTTGAGGGAGAAAAAGTTTCCTTTCCCTCCACTCGCTTTTGATTTCCGACATTTAAACCCGGAGTACCGTGGGCCCGCTTTCTCCCTCCGTTGGGGCTTCTGAGGGGGCGAGAGATGCGCCTCGCGCGTGGAGCAGGGCGCGTGTTGTACGGCAACTCCTTGACTTGAGGGAGCCGCGCGCGTTTCCCCCTCGCTCGTGACAAGAGCCTCTCTCTCTCTGCTTCTCCCTCTCGGACGGAGTGTGCCCCTCTCTCTCTTCCCTCCCGCTCCTCTTTTGGCCCCGCCGGAGCTCTATGGAGGGAGCGCAGCATGGTTTGCACCAGGAAAACCAAAACTTTGGTCTCCACCTGCGTGATCCTGAGCGGCATGACTAACATCATCTGCCTGCTCTACGTGGGCTGGGTCACCAACTACATCGCCTCCGTCTACGTGAAGGTGCAGGAGCCCGGCGCCCAGGCGGTGGCAGCGGCTGCGGCAGCGGCGGAGAGAAAGTTGGAGGAGGACAGCAAAGGGGACACGCTGAGGATTATCGAGAGGCTGGACCACCTGGAGAGTGTCATCAAGCAGCACATCCAAGGTATCGCACGCCCGCCCGCCCACACGCACGCCTCGCGCTCCTGCCGCTCTCGCGCGCTCGAGGAAAGGAACACCCCGGGCGGGTGGGAGAAGAGATCTTAAGCCGCCCTTTAAAAATCAGAATCGCGTGGGTGTTGATGGGAGCCCTATCCACCTTGACAAGGAGTGTTGACAGGGGAAGTTTTGTGAGCAGAGGGTGGCTGGCCATCTGTTGGGAGTGCTTTGGTTGGGTTGCTGTGAGTTTTCCGGGCTTGTATGGCCATGTTCCAGAAGCATTCTCTCCTGACGTTTCGCCTGTATCTATGGCAGGCAGCCTAAGAGATTGTGAGGTCTGCTGGAAACTAGGCAAGTGAGGTTTATATATCTGTGGGATATCCAAAGTGGGAAAAAGAGCTCTTGTCTGTTTGAGGCACCTGTGAACTTTGCAATTGACGACCTTGATTAGCACTGAATAGCCTTGCAGCTTCAAACCCTGGCTGCTTCCTTTCTGGGGGAATCCTTTGTTGGGGGTGTTAGCTGGCCCTGATTGATTTTTTCTTGGAATTGCCCTGTTTTCAGAGTTTCCCTCTTTATTTACCGTCCCAATCGTAGAGTGTGAATGTTGCAGTTGTCCACCTTGATTAGCATTGAATGGCCTTGCAGTTTCAAAGCCTGGCTGCTTCCTGCCTGGGGGAATCCTTTGTTGGGGGTGTTAGCTGGCCCTGATTGTTTTTTTCTTGGAATTCCCCTGTTTTCAGAGTTTCCCTCTTTATTTACTGTCCTAATCGTAGAGTGTGAATGTTGCAGTTGGCCACCTTGATTAGCATTGAATGGCCTTGCAGCTTCAAAGCCTGGCTGCTTCCTGCCTGGGGGAATCCTTTGTTGGAGAATCCTTTGATTGATTTTTTTTCCTGGAATTCCCGTTTTCAGAGTTTCCCTCTTTATTTACTGTTCTAATTTTAGAGTGTGAATGTTGCAGTTGGCCACCTTGATTAGCATTGAATGGCCTTGCACTTTCTGTGCTTTGGCCGTTCAGCAGTGGAACTCTCTGCCCGGAGTGTGGTGGAGGCTCCTTCTTTGGAAGCTTTTAAACAGAGGCTGGATGTCGGGGGTGCTTTGAATGCAGTTTTTCTGCTTCTTGGCAGGGGGTTGGACTGGATGGCCCATGAGGTCTCTTCCAACTCTATGATTCTATGTGTGTCCTTGCATGGCCGAATAATGGGGTGGGACAGGATGGCCCATGCTGTGCCTCTCCCAACTCAATGATTCAATTCTATGATTCGAACCGAGGGGTGATTTGCCTCTTCGGACTCTCAAGAGCCAGGAGAAAGTTCTCCCTCCCCCTCCCCCTCCCCCTCCCCCCCCCTTGGGGGCTCGCTTGGGTGGGGAGAGGCCGGAGGGAGGAGGAGGTGGGCTGCCTTGCTTTCCCTTGTCTCGCTGGCATCCCTAGGCTCTGCGTTGCTTCTTCCGACTCAAATAAGCTCTGGGTGAGCAGCAAGCGGTAGGGGGCCCCTAGAGGCCGGCTCTGGCGTCTCGGCGTGCGCCTCCCTTCTCTCCCCTTCTTCCGTTGTCCTAGAGAGTCCGCGGCCAAAGAGGGACCAGGCTAGGATGTCCTGGCCCTCCTCAAGCGGCGCAGCTCCGGGGTCTCGCCGGAGGGAGGGCTGGGGGGCAGGGAAGAGGACGAGCCGTGCCTCGCCAGGAGGAGGAGAATCCGAGCCGCCCCTTTCCATCGGAAGGCATCTCTGGGCCGAGTGGGTGGGCGCTTTCTCCTCTCCCCGGCTCCATGGAAGGGACCTGCTACCGCAGCTAGTAGTCAGCGCTCTTCTCCTGGGTGGGAGCGATGCGGAGACTTAAGGGAGAGTGTGGACTTCCCTGAATGAAGATCGCTTCCTGTTCTTTCCCCCTCATCACCCAGGGGACGGAGTAGGAGAGTGCTGTGCTTCCTTTCTTCCTTCTCTTTCCTGCCTTCCTTCTCGCTTTCTTTCCCTCTTTCCTCTCCGAACCAACCCTGGCCTAGTTTTGCAAACTGCCATCTCCATCAAGCTGATTTAACTGCCTTTGCATCTCCTCCTACTAATTTTATTTTTAAAAAGATATGCAGGTATTCTGTGTATTGTCGAAGGCTTTCATGGCAGGAATTACTGGGTTGCTGAAAGTTTTTCGGGCTGTATGGCCATGTCCAATAAGCATTCTCCCCTGAGGTTTCACCTGTCTCTATGGCAGGCATCCTCAGAAGTTGTGAGATCTGTTGGAAAATTGGGTTTATATATTTATGGAAACTCCAGGGTGGGAGAAAGAACTCTTGTCTGTTGGAGCTAGGTGTGAATGTTTCACTGGCCACCTTGATTAGCATTTGACGGCCTGGCAGTTTTTAGGTGTGCCCTGTTACTGATATATAAACCCAATTTTCCTAGCTTCCAACAGACCTCACAACCTCTGAGGATGCCTGCCATAGATGCAGGCAAAACATCAGGAGAGAATGCTTCTGGAACATGGCCATACAACCTAAAAAAACTTACAGCAACCCTGCAGGTATTCTGGTTGGGAATGGGATCATTTGGGAAGAAAATCCTCCATTGGTTGTCAGTCTCTGTGATGGTATTTTGAGTTCTTCTCTGGCCGGTTGTGCCTGGCTGGGAAAGGGAGCTTGTGTTTGAAGGGAAGGGAGCCAAAACTAGGCCATTTAATGTGTTGTGGAAGGCTTTCATGGCTGGAATCACCAGATTGCTGTAAGTCTTTCAGGCTGTATGGCCATGTTCTAGAAGCATTCTCTCCTGACGTTTCACCCACATCTGTGACAGACATCTCACAACCTCTGAGGATGCCTGCTATAGACATGGGTGATTGTCAGGAGAAAATGCTTCTGGAACAAGGCCATACAGCCTGGAAAACTCACAGCAACTCAGGTCATTTGACGTGTCCTGTCTCACCCTGAACCAAAATTTTACAAGACTTCTTATGTTCTGAATGAATGCTATATTGTTTGTTTACATTTTTGTATTGTCTGGCTGGGGGGCACTCTTCCTGCTGGTTTAGTGGCTACATACTTTCCCCTCCCCCTCCCTTTTTTCCTCCCTTTTGGACATCTTTTGCAGATGTCCTGTCCTTTTTGATTCCTAGAACTTTTTATTATTAGGTCAGTGAGAAAAGACCACTGCAGGTGCTGTATGTTTGTATGCAGGGTTTTGAAAACAGGATCCATGAACAGGACTTGCCTTTATGAGTTCTGAAGTTGTAATTTGCTAGTTCAAAATACTGCTATAGACGTTACCAGTGAATGCCTGGTAACTCTGTCAATTACTTAGTCACTTTGGCAGATATCATGTGTTAAACAGCTCTTCAGGGGAAAAAATCCTAATAAAACAATGTGACTGTTTTGCTACAGCTGCTAAAAAGATTTTCTTTCTGCTGAACCTGTTTTGTCAACAGGGCATGAAAGAATGCTGGAGCCATTAGCATGCACTTCGGTGGAAAGCTGCTAAATGCACACAGTTGTATGTGTGTGAACTTGACTTCTGTGGATACAATGGTGTCATGACATGTCCCTCCAGATTTTCATGATGCTATGCACTGCATATAAAAGAAATTATACAATGTGTATTTTGCTTCTCTCTGCCTTTTTTCGTAGGATGAATCTGGGCAGAATAACAAGCAAAATTGTTTCTTTTCAGGAGACAGAGTGATGTCAGTATCCACCAATTCTTAAGTTTCTCAGTATTTAGGTCTCTCTTGAATCCTGGATTTAATATTTTGAAAGGAGGAATATAAGCTCATTATATTTGCATACTGGGGCTCACTTTTTTTAGAGCTCAGCAGTTCTGGGCATATCAACTCAGAAGTAAATCCCACTAAGTTCAAGGGGACATACACTTGACTGAAAAGAGTTAAAAGTCACAAAGTTTCTAAGCTGCCAGGAATTTCAGTGGGCTTGGAGATCTCATCTTTCTTGGTTTCTTTCCAGTACTTGATCTGACACTCCCTTCTAAACACTTGCAGAACTACAGTCAAGCTCATGACTTGCAATATTTTGTTGGTATGGTTTTTCACCTAGAAAATTGTTGAACTCAAAGGTTGTAAAAATCTGGGCAGGATTCAAAAGGAACTCTGTCAGTGCTCTTATAGGCTGCTGTTCTTCTTACAGTATGCAACTTATCCTTATTAGGTTATGCTGAACATAAACAACATGTGAAACAGCCCAGTATACCTTATTGGGACTTAGTTCTAGACAAGAATGCAAATAGAAGCTATAGATTGCTATCCTGGGCCTGTGACTCTAAAGCTGTTTTCATTGTTGAACAGATAGAGAAGTGAGTTACAATTCAGAAACTTGGTATGATTAAGCTGTGTCAGATTCTGACATTCATTTTCAGAACTGTAGTTCAGGCTTATCTATTCATCAGCAAAAGATTTAGAATTTCAAGACAATTTTCATCATTTTAGGTGGTTGAGGTGATTTGGTAACCGGTAGTTCCTTTGGCTTAGTATCTTTTAAGGGAAAGTGTCAGAGGTTAGTAGTTAAATTTAACCGATTCCTCTTAATTAATATAGGGATCTGGGTAAGAGAGTGTATTGGGAGCTACAGTGTCCAAAAATCATTGTGAGCTTGTCTAAAAGAAGGCCAGGGCTTCATCTGCAGTGAAATTACTGTGCTCTGGGAATGTCCCCAGAGCCTTTTGGTGTCCAGAAGCTCAACTTTGCCAATAGCACATTTCAGCTACCACTGTTTCATTAGCCAAAAGCAATCTTCCTGGTGAGGGCACCTAGGCATGTGACCAGCAAAACGGATGTTACCAGTCAGGTTATTTATTTATTATTTATTTCATGCATTTCTACCCCGCCTTTCTCCCCCCCTAAGGGGGACTCAGGGCAGCCTCACACAAGCATCATATGATGCTAACAGCATATAAGCAATCAAAAATTACATTCAAAACATTAAAATTATTAAAAACACATTATACAATTCATTAAACAATAAATTAAACATGGCAATTAAAACCAAATCCAAATCAGGGTAAATCCAGT